ATGCCCGGTCATTGTCCGAGGTCTGCCAAGCTTGCCCCAGCGCGGAAAGATGCCACCTCGATCGCGACAAGGATGAGGAACGTTGGAACCATGGATGGCCTTGCAGGGGGTGTCTGCTGCTCATCTGAAGAACCCTCATGAAGTTGCTTGCCATGCGAAAGGCCTGTTGTAGTCCATGAAGAAGTACAGCCAGTGGCCGGTCTTCGTCTTAAGCCACCAGTTCCAGACCGTGTAGGCAAGGACAACATACGCTGGGAAGATGGAGTGCTCAACTCGCCTTACCACGGAGCGACTAGTACATGTCCGTCATCAATCACTACGAGTACTACGGATTTTCCACCAGCCGGGTGGCAAGCTCCACTGACAGAAAAGAGCCTCTCCAGTGAGCAGGATCACGTTGGCATTGTGCATGTACAACAACAGCGGCTCCAGCCTCGTGGCGTTTCAAAACTCTCGTTTAGAAGTCGGGGATCCACAAAATTCGGGAGGCTCTGGGCTGTTCCCGCCAAGTCGCAAGCTGTCCACTGCCGCCTTGCGCCTGCCATGCAAATCTGCCCCTGTTCAACTGCTCATACTCAGGCACTTCCAAATAAATATTGCAAGCTGGTGGCTTCGCCAAGTATGCAAAGGGCAATAGCAGCAGCCAGACTGCCCAGAAGACCAGCCACGACGTCCCGAAGGCCTCGCGCTCAGAGACCCACTGAGAATCCCCAGCAAGACCGCAAAACCAACCCAGCGACGGCCGAACCGGAACCTGCACTGGGACCGGTGTTCGATGGCATCGAGAAAGAAACGCATGACTATCGGCGTTGTCCACGGTGCACACTAACAGTAGCGGTTTCAGCAATGTCGCTGGACATGTTCGACCGTTCGAGCTGAGTCCGTCCTGCACCAATCCGTAGGGGGCAGGGGGTGTTCATCTTTCGTTTGACCGATGATGTGAAGCAGTCTCTGTGATGTAGATAAGCTCAGATTCCTCCCCCTCACATCCCCTCACGAAACCGCTCTAAGGCCCATCGCTATCCACCAGACTGACTTGGCAGTTCAGGTCGAATCCTGCCCCGCCCGACTGAAAAGAGCGAGGAGACGATGCGACAAGACACCAAAATAACAACAAGCAGTCGATGTGGGGCCAGGACTCCAGGATTCTCTTCGACCGGCTAGGTTGGCAGGAGTTGAAGGCGGCAACTTTTGCTCCGAAATGCCGAGAAGGGAATACACAGAACGCTGAAGCTTGGCACGGTGTAATTCTCCCCAGCCTGCCCCAAGGTATAGACTGGGACTCTACACAGCAGTCGCCGTCTCTCTGCAAGGCATTGCATGTAGAGCCCCAGCGTAGGCCCTCCCCGTCATAGCCAAGTTGCGATGTCAAACACAATCCAAAGGCTTGTGGCCAGACGCGTCGTCGGAGTCCACCCGAAGACGACATAGACGAAGCTTGCGCCTGACTGCAAAGCCGTGGTTGTGGGAAACATTGCTTCTGCCATTCAA